AACTTCTTACTTGTTTGGAAGCTCGTCCAGAGAAGCAGATTTTCAGCTAGTGGTTCGATCGTTACCTGAAATGCCCCCGTAGACGGGGCTGCCGTCATCCGAGGCTCCACTGCATTTAAAGAACTTAAAACAAATACGGAACTCCACACGGTTATCAAGTGAACATTTACGTGTGTAAAATAGCATGTCCCTAACCGTGTCATGCTTTGGTAATGAATCAACATCACTCAGTGGCAACCACCTAGTTAAGATGTGTGTATATGCATGTTCATGTAATTTTTTTTTGCCTAGCAGCCTTAAAGTTTATGTTCCCGTTAGAATCAGACCCGGAATCGTGCAGATTCGCAGCAGTAAACAAATTCGTGGACAAATTAAGGGTTTGTTAAGGTTGATACTTTGAGGTACTGACCGCCGTACCTACCTTCGCATTTCTTGCCGCACAAAACTATATAGGCTCTACCTTTTATATGCCTACCTGCTGGATTTTCATTTAAATTCCGAAACGTGTGTGTGTTTGTATGCAGATCCAACAGTATACACAGATTACGCGGCTAATCAACGACCTGACAGGCAACCGTGCTCCCGCAATCGATTTGGCCGCGTCGATTCAGCTGCCGAACAAAACATCCTCCGCCAATCCCTGACTCCCGTCTGACCAGAATCTCAGAGCAGCAAACTACTGCATTTTGTTTACCCTTATCATTTTCTACTAATGTGAAATGTTTTTGATGTATATTTCAATGTGAACAACTGCTTTAAAATTTGTTTTTGCTCTCTGCTTTTTGTTCATGAAAAAGGGGGGATGGTAAGATGGCACTGCTTTTGATTTAAAAAAAACTGTGGATGAGAGTACCCAGTAGATGGTTATCCTCCGCAATTAGGAGATATTTCGGCCTGAACCTTTAACCCGCGGAAAGTAATACTTTTTATAACGGTTGACGAGTGTGTTCATAATGAGCTAGTCAGTTCGACCGACGATGTCCACCGTAAGATGGACTGGCGTGTTACTTTGTTTATTGTGCTAGCAGAATTGCGCAGAATCTACAACTTTTTATTCTCTCCCATCGGGGCTCGGTATCATAACTAAGAACCGGAGATAGGAGAGGGCGCAGGGGTCTGGCGCGGCCAGAACCCACGTCCTGGTCCCCGCTCAAATTACCAATACTTGACATAACAGGGGAGGGGGGGGGCTTTCCGCACCTGCTGGGTGGGAGTGCCTGGATTTCCATATTAGAGATGGATCGAGTTACACAGCTGGTTGGCAGACTTCCAAGTTGCGGATTTTAACGTACCGTAGTAGCTTCAAGCGCAGTTGATTGTCCACAATGGGGAAATTGCGCCGAGGCAGTCAAACTTACTGGTAGAGAAGAAAAAGGCACGTCGACCACCGAAATCATGGTTTTATTTGTCTGAGCTCTCGAATTCTCACTGGAGTCCATCGTCAGAGGTAAAAGCGTCAGCGAAAAACAAGCAACAAGGGGACAGAGGCCAATCAACCACCAGTGACGTCAGTCCGGAGGTGCCTGCGCACGGCAATGTATGCCGGCGCCAGATCTATAACTCAATTGACTAGGTCTCATCCGAGGCCCGGGCTTAAATTACTTCTCGGCATGTCTTGATGCCGCCGTGAGCGATCATCTTCGCTGCTGCGAAGTTAATCTCTTGTAGGTGCGGGCAGCCACTAGTGATAATGCGTCAATCCGACTAACGGCTAGCTTGTGTTCGTTTATGCGCAAGCCAACCATGTGTACAGTATGTCATATGTGATTTCGAGGACAATTTAGACATGGTACGGGATACACTACACCTACTGCTTACTTGGATTTAATCGGTACCTGATATTTACCATTCGGCTGCGCATGGTAGCCTTGGGATTGTGTGCAAATCGGACGCCTCGTTCTACAGCAATGCGCTCGGTCGCTACCGACACGTCCTTGATGTGTGGCATCGCATGCCATATCGTGCAGGTTTGTTCTGGTCGAGTCCTCGGAAGGTGAACACGTAGACATCGGCTTATGAAGCCCTTCGGATAGCCATTTCGCATAAACTGGTCGCGTAGATGTCGGGCTTCACGTGCTTTTCCTAATTACTGCAGCGAGTCTGGATTCTTTTGAATACTGTTCACACGCAGCTTCTGTTGTGAGCCACCAGATGGTTGTTGTGAAAAGTGAAAGCTGTGTGGTGTTCAGTGCTTTTCTGTAGACTGTTGTTTCTATTTCGCCGTTGGACGTTCACACGAGGAGAACGTCAGGGAAACGTAGCTGCTCATCCTTTTCTCTCATGAATTGTAGATTCGGCAAAGTCGAGTTAAGGAGATCATGGAAATTCTGCAAAGTCTTCCTTTTGACGATAACCAAGTTGTCGTCAACTTAACATTGCTAAAAGATCGGGGCTGTTGGATGAGGGCAATTTTTTCCAGCTCTTGTAGAACCAATTCTGCTTCTAAACCGGAGATTAGAGAGCCCATCGGAGCTCCCTTGATCTTTGCATAAGTTTCTCTTGCAAAAAAGGGAGTAGTTCTTTTGGTAGAATTCGAAAAATCTAATGAGGTGTTCAACTTTGAGCGAGCTCCAGAGTTTCGTCGTACAGTACTTGTACGTTTTTACTTGCACTTGGTATGGTTACGATCATGAATGCTCTAGCCGGCCATTATGATGTCCCGGATTGTACTTCTCCACGCGTGACCACCGGTGGCAACAGACCTGGACAGTTCAATTCAGTCTCCCTGCCAATGCCGGAAGCCGAATACTGAAGGTCCAGATTTTTAGCTGACCCTCTCTTTGACGTCTCATATTGGGTAACATTTCGGATCGAGGGCAGTAACACTGAGCTCGTGAGGTTTTCGACGAAGAACGTGTCCAAACCATGTAAGTCATCTCTCATGGATGGACTGGGATATCCTTGATATTGTGTCACAACGAGCGCAGACTGTCTCATTTGAGACGAAGCCGGTGTTATTCACTTGAGAGATGGTTATTATCTGATCCGCACATCCACGCCCAACGTGGAGTCCAGTTTGGTTGGGCCGCATCCTAGAGTCACATATAGACTGGAATCGCTTGAGAAGAACAAAAGCGAAGATCTTCGTAGTGACGTCAATAAAGTCAATTCAAGTCAAGTTTATTGGTACGCAGTAGTTAAGAAATGCATCAGCACAGCCGAACATTTCAAAGAGGGTCGTCCGTTTACATAATTGTAGGCGACTACTCACGCGTTCCAACTAATATGATCAAGTGGGGTGATGTCAGTTAACACGAGCCAACAGGTGTAGTTGAGTAAAAAGAACAGACGATGATAAACTCCCCTTGAAACACATGCCCCCGCCGTGAGGGCGCGGCTCAGAAGGGG